CCCGCCTGCCACGGCAGCTGCCTCTGTCTCGGCCCCCGCCACTGCGGCTTCGTCCGGAAGGTCATCCGGAAGGACATCATGTCTAATTAGCATATTATGTTTTTATTATTATAGATAGTCAAGAGATGGAAGCAACCTAAGTGTCCGTCAATAGATAAATAGATAAAAAAGTGGTGGTGCATATATGCAATGGAATATGACTCAGCTATTTAAAAAAATGAAATCTTGCCACCTGCAACAACATGAATGGCTCTAGAGCAATGGTTCTCAACCTTACTAATGCCGCGGCCCTTTAATACAGTTCCCCATGTTGTGGTGACCCCCAATTTCATTGTTACAAATTGAACATAATTAAAGCATAGTGATTAATCACAAAACAATGTGTAATTATATGTGTTTTCCGATTGTCTTAGGCGACCCCTGTGAAAGGGTCGTTTGACCCCCAAAGGGTCGCGACCCACAGGTTGAGAACCGCTGCTCTAGAGGGTATTGTACCAAGTGAAAAAAGTAACACAGAGAAAGACAAATGCCATATGATTTCACTTATATGTGGAACCTAAAAAGAAAATAAATAAGCAGAACAGAAACAGACTCAGATAAAGGCTTTATCTCTCTACCTCCCTTCTTCTCTCTCTTAAAAAAAAACAACCCCAAAAAAACCCAAAACACCCGAGGAACCAAGATGGCAGCGTAGGTAAATGCCTGTACTTGCTGTCTCCCACAACCACATCAAAATTACAACTAAAATTTAAAAAAATCATTCAGTACTGCCTGAGAGTTGGCTGAATGGAAGTCCTACAACTAGAGAAGTAAAGAAGTGCATTGAGACTAGTAAGAGGGGAAGAGGCATGGAATGGGCTGGACTGGCACCCACGTGGGCTATTTTTGTAATCTAGAGGGAGATCGTCTATGCAGAAGTGTTCCAGCCTCACACCAGCCCCGTAGCCCAAAATTCCAGAGCTGGGAAGACCAGTGGGGATAACTACCGGCTGTAAAAACCAGCAGGGATTAGGGCTCAGGGACATGGAGGCTGCTGGAGATCTAGGTGTTCCTTTGTTGTTTTTTTCATTTGAACATATTTTTATTGCTTTCAGAGAGGAAGGGAGAGGGAAAGAGATATAGAAACATCAATGATGAGATAGAAACATCATGGATTTGCTGCCTTGTGCACGTTCCCCACTGGGGATTGAGCCCCCAACACGGGCATGTGCCCTGACCAGAAATCGAACCGTAATCTCCTGGTTCATAGGTTGATGCACAACCACTGAGCCATACCAGCTGGGCCCAGGTGTTCCTTTTAAAAAGCTGGCACATGAACTGAACTTACAAGGTCCCACTTCCTTTGAGCTCCAGCTCCAGGGTGAGGCTCTGGGGGACCCAGACACATAAGAGGAGGAACTGGATTATTCGGCATCAGGGCAGAAACTTGGGGTCAGCTTTCTCTCAGAAGGAGGTGCTCACAGGGGTCATTGTTCACGTGGGGCTGACTGGCAGCCATATCTGCTTGCTCCACCCTGGTGATTCCCTAAGACCCCGCCCCATCCAATTTGAAGCCCCACCCAACCTGTGAGCAGTGACTTTTGCATATGAATGGCCTGTCCTTGCTCAGGCTTCAGGCTTTGCTAAAATCTCTCAAACAAGCTACAGCTGGGTAAGCATGCCCCAAATCTATCAATAAAAGGCCTAAGACCCAGCACTAGCATGAGCCTGCCTTGCTTAACAGTCCAGCCTCACCTGGGCACCTCCAAGCTTAATACAAATAGCTCATGCAGGGTGGCCCTAGGCAGTGGCTGACTTTGCACCTTCTATGTGGTGTCAGATGGTTATTAGATTTATCAGGGTTATCATTTTGTAAGTTCTATAGATGTCTAATCACTGGGTTGTACACCTGAAACCAATATTATGTTGTATGTCAACTGTAATTGAAAAATGAAAAAATAAAAAGAGAGAAACAAATAAAAACAATGTGACTGTTTATACTGTCCCTACTTGGCTTACCGATATCTGGTTAATCAGTTGCTGTAGGTTACAAATTTTCTCTACATTTTCTTTTAATTCCTGGTCTTCCAAATTTCCCACTAGCTTTTGAAGATCCACTTTACAGCTGAAAATTCAAGCAAAGAAACCCAAGAGTTAATCACACTGTCAAGGCCAGAGCATCTATGATTACATATTATGTGCTATAACGTCAGTAACAAATATCTGGTAAGAAACTTACGCTGCATGCTGCTTGAGTTCTTCTAGCTTGGCATTCATTTTTTCATTCGCTTGTTCTGTCTGTAACAAAGACCCAGGAGATCATCAGCGGCAGTGCCTGATGGCCTCACTTAATTATGACTTCTCTCCTACTTCTATAGTTTAAAAGCCAGGTAGAGAGAAAACCAAGATGGCGGCATAGGTAAACACCGGAGATTGCTGCTTAGCACAACCACTTCAAGAATACAACTAAAATACAGAATGGACATCATCCAGAACCACAGGAAGGCTGGCTGAGGGGAAATTCTACAACTAGAAGGAAAGAGAAAGGCATACCGAAACTCAGAGGAGCTGAGGTGCGGAAGTAAAGTACAGAGGTACGGAGGCGCATGCGGAGAGGGCTGGTGGCTGAGAACACGGTTGTCTTTTTCAATCAGTAGGGAGTCTCAAACTCTGAGCTCCAGTTCTGGGCGAGTCTCTGGGGACCCAGACTCATACGGGAGAAACTGGACTGTCTAGCATTAGTCGGAACTCGAGGGCAGCTTTCTCTCGGAGGTGCTTGCAGCGATTGCTGGGACACTGAGAAGTGGGGCCTCTGAGGGCAGCCATAGCTGCTTGCTCTGCCCTGTTGATCCCCTGGGACCCCCGCGCCGCCCAAGCTGTGGGCTGGCTTTTACATATGAAAGGCCTGGCCCTTTGCAATCTGAAAATTACCTAAGAAACTTGCAGCTGGCCAAAGGCCCCAGGGCAACTTGCATTGCTTCACAGCTGAGCTCCTGCTGGGTAGCCTCAGGCAGAGGCTACATTAGCACCTCCTTAGAGATCCAGGAGCCAGTGTACCCGGTGGTCAGAGTGGATCCATCCAGATTGCAGCTCCTC